TCTCTGCTGTATTTTACACGACCTTTTGAACAGGATGCAAGGCTGAGAGAGAGCCCAGCTCCGGGTTCCTGCTGGCTACATCCTCCTCCATTCTGTTACCTTTGGTACCAAAGCCTCACGGCCAGCAGATCTGTGACACAGCCTTCTGGAACAAAGCTGTGACTTTGATCTGATGGAAGAAACACTGCAGTGGGGGGGGGGGGGGGGCGTGGGGCACAGGCTCCCCCAGCTCTGCAGTCTGTAAGTGGCTCTGGAGCGTGCTGTGCTCAGGGTGCTGGGGTCTGTCCCTGCTTAGTGAAGACAGATGTGAGTGCTGAGTGAGCAGCAGCTAACAGACTCACAGAGTAACACTGGCAGGGTGCCCTGCTTTTCAGATTTCAGTGCACCTACAAAAACTTACCAAAAAAAAAAAAAAAAAAAAAAAAAGCCCTCTACATTTTGGCCTAGAGCAAGGCTGTGGTGTAAGCAGTTCATCAAGACACACTCTCTTTAGCTCCTTAAACACACAGCTAGATCAAAATAAAGTATGAAGAGCATAAAGTAACTCACAGACACCGTTTATTAACACTGAGGCCTGCTGCAGGAAGAAAGTGACCCAGTAAATATTCTCTCTGAGTAGTAAAATAGCTGCTGTAAGGAGTTACAAGAACTTTTGTGAGCTGTAATTCCCTTAGGAAAAGAAAAAAAAAGAGAGGTTTTTACAATCTTTCATCTCTGCTTGAAAGCAGAAGTAAAAAGCTTGCCCCTAAACAACTAGGTGCTTGTGAGCAGCCTGCTAATAATGTCATCTTCTGTCTGGTCTTAAAGCAAGAGAGAGATATGGACGGAAAACAAACTCACAAACAGTTTTGCTCAGCTTTATGAGTTCTGTGACTTCAAAGATGGGAAGAAAAGCTCCTCAGGCTGGATGCCCTGAGGACCAAAAGTTCAGCAGCTTTCAGAGTATGTTATGCATTTGAAATGCACAATGTTTGATAAAACTGCAAATTGATACCTCACAATGGAGGACCTGTACACAACAAACCCTGGTGAGGTTTTGGAACAGGCTGCCCAGGGGAGTGGTGGAGTCACATCCCTTGTGGTGTTTAAAGAAAGGGGAGATGTGGTACTAAGGGACGGTTTGGTGGGCAATATTGGTGGTAGGTGGGCAGCTGAACTAAATGATCTTAGAGGTCTTTTCCAACCTTAACGATTTCTACTCTGGCTCATTGGAAAAACCAACAAAATGCACATACTTACGTTTTGCTTTACATGTTGTCTTTCAGTGAGGTTTATTTTACAAAAGGCTGTGGTGTGATGATGTGTGTGAATACCATCTTTCTTTACTAGTGACTAAACCAAGGCAGAAATATTGCACTGAGCTAAGTCCAATTCAATGTATTCTTGTTTATCTTCCTTCTGTATCCCTATTTCCCCATGGCAACTGTCAGTCTGGGTCTAACTGCTCAGCTCTAAGAAAGTTTACAGCAAATGTTGTAGCAATCAGAAACGTGATTGTCCTCCCAGGGTTTGGGACAGCAATGGCAGCGCATATCAAAGCAGCTGGAAGGAGAACAGCCAGAACGATTTCCCTGTTTGCTGTAGAAACAGTGAAGGACACTAAAAAGAAATGCAGCTGATAGCATGATCCCTGCCAGTGCTGTGCTTGCAAATAATGAGTTAAACAGTGATTCGAGTGAAATAAATGCACATTTTTTTTCTTCTGTGGACAACTGAGTCTCTAACAAGAACCACGTCTGTAATAAAAGTTATGATGTCTCTAGCAGGAACTGGTAGTGCAAATCAAACATACCATTAGCTTGTTAGGCTCAGCCAAGTGAAATAACAAGCAGCTGGGCAGTGCTGTATACTGAAATGGAAAACTGTTGCCCCTTAACAGAAGATTTCCTCAGAGAAAATTAAGCGCGAGGGGCAGCAACAGACCTGGTTATTCATGAGCACAGTGTCATGGGAAGGTCAGGGGAAGGACCTCACTTAAACCATCATTCTGACTCAAAAAATGCTGCCTGACTACTGAAGTCAGCAGCACAAACCCTCCCCAGCGCCTCAATGAGCACACGAGGGGGTAGGGATGTTCCTGGCCCTGCACCTGGCTGCTGCCACCAGGAGAAGCAGAGGCAGGAAGTGTAGCCATGTCTGGCCTCTGACTTGCCAGACGGGCTAGCAGGCCCAAGTGAGGGCTCAGACCGTGCCTGGGAAATGGGGAGCAGGTGGACATCTCTTGTTTCAGAAAAAAATCACAGAATCACAGAATTATAGAATACTTTGGGTTGGAAAGGACTTAAAGACTGTCTAGTTCCAATACTTCTGTCATGGTAGCAGTGATCAGATTGCTCAGGGCCCCATCCAGTCTGGCCCTGAATGCACTGGGGATTGGGTATCCACAACGTCTCTAGGCAACCCATTCCACTAATCTATGAGTAAAGAATTTCCTCCTAACATCCAACCTAAATCTCTCCTCTTTTAGTCTAAAACCACTCCTCCTTGTCCTATTGCTATAAGACTGTGTAAAATGGTGGCTCCTCTCCTGACCATAAGTTTCCTTCAAGTACTAAAAGGTTGCAGTGCAGCATTCCTGGAGCCTTCTCTTCTCTAGTCCCAGCTCCCTCAGCCAGTTTCCATGGGAGAGGTGCTCCATCCCTCTGAGCATCTTTTTGACCCCTCTGCTCCAACAGCTCCACATCTTCCTTGTCCCAAACACGGAGCCCCAACACAACATGCAAAGTGACACGTTCTGCTGCACCAGAAGAGAAATTGGAGGCAGTCTGTGTTGGGCTAGATGGGATTCTGTATTTTCAAACAATTGGGTTATGTGAGTTTTTGTACTTTCAAACAATTGGGCTAGAATGAATTTTTGTACTTTGGGCCTTTCAGCTGAAACCAAGCTGTCTGTGTTGTCGTGTTCTCTTTTACAAGTGTTTGGCTAATGGAGCCTGGGTGGCAGAGTGGAAAATTGTTTGGGAGGTTTGAGTTGCCCTGTGTGTGTTCCGCGGCCCAGCAGCCAGACATTGTTTAGTGACTCCTAGGAGGGATCCTTGTAATCACAGCTGATTTGCAAAAGCATATCTGTTGCCCATGTGCATCAATTAGATTACAGCATTTCTATGCAAATCACAGACTTGATATTGATCCCACAGCTTGCAGCCAGCTGAGAACATTTTCATGCTTATCTGGAGCGAGGCCGTAGGAGACCATTTCCACAAAATCTACTGCAGAAGTGCATCCAGTTTTCAAGTGCACATCCGCATTTAGCAACTCCCTGTTGCTGAATGTCAGCCCATGGCACATTCACAGACTGCCCTCATCACTGCCATGAGCCTCCAACACGAGCCTCTTGTGCTCTGCCTGGCTCAAAAATCCCCCATACATTTTTGGGCTAGTACTCTGCATGGGAGGAAGTTGGACTGCATTTCCCAGAAGCCAGCTCCCTAAAGAGAATTTTAAAGGAGATAAATGTGTTTTCTGGCTCTGGGTGTTGCTAGCTCCCATCCATTTCTAGATGCTGGAATATGCCCAAGTCTGAATAGACAACAAGGGAACAGCATTTTGAACAAAACTTTTCTTTTAACAGCATAATTCTAAAACACTTCCACATGCTTCTGGTACACGTAGGCACTGCTTTCACCTGTGTCTAACCAGAATCCAATGGAGGGTAACAGGAGCTTACTTGATGAGGAGATTTCTGGATCTGCAGATGTGCCCTCAGTTGCTGTCAGACACTCTGCTGCTCAGGCAGCCCCACACTGTGCGGGGCACGTCTGCAACTCCACTTTTCCAGAATAGCATCTGGTGTGTAAAAGGCACAGAAAGCTTTTGCCCCAGCTCTAATACTTAGAACTGGTTAGAAAAATGTCTCAAGAACATTGCAAAAGAAAATTCCCAAATGCCTTTCTCTGCAACTCTTTCCACTTTCTCATTTAATAATACAGCTGTCTTAATTTTTTCAGTCAGTGACAAGGGAGGAAAACTCCCTCTTCCCTTCATCCTTTTCTGCCTCAGGAAAAAGAGAAAAAAGGGAAGGAGGAAGAAAAGAGGGTTTCTGGGATGATAATGTCTTGAAATTGTTTTTGGTGGTTTTTTGTTTTGTTTTGTTTTGTTTTGTTTTAAGTTGAAACATTTTGGAAAGAACTTTTCCACTTTTCTTCTTCCGTTTGAAAGAAACTTTTTTAAGGAAAACTGCTTTAAACTCCAAATACTGGCTAACTTTATAAACAAAATTCTTTCCTCATTTTATTAAGGGAATTAAACAAGGTGCAAGTGATGGCTGAAGAAACAATTTCCAAGATGATTGACACATAGGAACTTTTATCTTTTCAACTATAAATTTTGATTGGTTTTTGCACCCCCTCGCCCCCCTGCCCCCAACACACACCACACTTCCTCCTTTCCTCCTTCGAAAAATTATTGCCTTTCAGTTTGTTTTAATGGTGTTTATGTAATGCCATAAATATTCTTGTTTAGAACCGTAATTATTCCCTGTGATTAATTCTGCCCGTTCTAGGAGGTTGTGCAAGATTTTCACTGGAGGGTATGTCTTTCATGTTTATGTTACTCCACGTAAAGTGGAATTTGCCCCCTACCAGAGCTGGATCAGTGAGGGCAGAGTTAACATTTTTCCTTTCTCCTATGGCAATGTTTGGAAGCATTTTTGTGGAGTGTTTAGTATCATTCCTCTTCAGGTCAGGATTAAAGTAACTGGCAGGACTCTGGGCCAGGGGTCCCTTCACTGTCCAACCTCAGCTCTGTGGGGTGGAAGCATGCCACGTCCAAAAGTCACTTTCTCTCTCTTTCTTTTATACCCCATTAGGCTGTGTTTTCGATTTCAGAGGAATTCCTATAAATACACGGATGGTAGCTGCTAATTGTGGGTAAAACATCTACTGGATGGTGGCAGTGGGAATTTTCCCAAAGTAAGGGACTTAGCTGTCTGTATTTTCTGAGAAGTATTTGGAGAACTTGGAGATAACGATCAGAATGTGACAACATTCTGTGTTACGTGAGGGCAAACACATGAAATCAGACAACACTGCGGCAGTAACTGACAGTGCACAAAGGCCAGATGCCTGCACATGGTGCCCAGCCTTTGTGCTGCTCCTTATGAACCTGGTTAAATGAAGGTGAGTAGCAAGACTTGAGTACCCCAGAACAAAGGAAGGAAACCTGGGGGAGACAGGAAAGAGTTATGCTTTAAAGAATATATAGGTTATATACTCCAAATAGACAGTTTTTCTGCTTGAACGCATTTCAGACACTTTTCCAACCAACCAATGGAAATAGTACCATTTTTAGCAGTTTAAAAAGTGTAATCTAGAAACGTTTCTCTGTCATCCTCTTATGCAATTTTTGTAAACAACTATTTTACTGCCCAGAAGAACTGTCTTTGATTGTTAGGCATGAAATGAATAAGTTAGGTGATTGGGGAACGTGGTGGACTTTGTGTTCATTGTTTCTGTGCAGAAACCATTTGCCAGAGATTTCTAGGGCTGATGGGAAAGGATTTGCAGCTGGGTTTACCTTTTCTTAAGTCATACCTGCATCTAAAAAAACCAGACTATATTAAGGGTGGGAAGCCTTTGAGAGACCTGGGTGGAAAATCCCAGGAGTAAGGATGTCCCTGCACTGCACTGCCCAGGCCCCTGGCAGAGCTCAATAGGTCATGTTTGCTGAAGGTGCTTGTTTTCTGTCACCAGGAGCAGCCAGCAATGGGACACCAGAAGGGCAAAGCATGTCCTCAGTGACCATGGATGGAGACAGCCGCATTCACAGATTAGCGCTGCCATGGAAACTTGGTTTGCAGAGCTCCCCATGGCAAATAAGGAATGAATGCCAGGTCAGCACCCGGGATCCAAAGGGAGGGAAGGAAGGATTGAGCAACTGTTTGCTGAACTTATTTAGAAGCTTTCCTGGAATATTCCAGTATTCCATATATTGGAGTGAAGAGTTTTTAGTCAAAGTTAGGACAAGGATTCCCTTTGTTTGAGAAAAGGGTTCTATCTTTTGGATGTGTTCAATGAAGGACAGCAGCAGAGCTAAGTATTGATTTAATTTCAAAATAACCTTCAAAGACCTAAAAGAGATTTGATTATCAGCTGTATGCTGAAAAGAAGTCTCAGAAGGCTTTTTGTTCAACATAATGATTTACAAGATGTGTTATCAGCCATTAGCTTAGGAGTTCTGCTTATAATTCCAATTTTGATCCTTGTGAGACCAAACTCATGTCTGTATTTTGCCTGTAGAGATCTGTTGGCTACCTAGTACTAGATATATCGAAAGCATGGCTGACAGTTTCACCGCTTGGAAAACATAACTTTTCTTACAGCATCAAACAATGAGCTTTCAGTAAAATATTTTATAACAAACATCCCTACTTCCTCCTTCCTCCCTTCCTGCTTTCCTCCCTTCCTCTCTCCCTCCCTTCCTTCCATTCTTCCTTCCTTTCTCCCTCCCTCCCACCCCTTCCCCCTTCCTTCCCACTTCCTTTCCTTCCTCTCTCCCTTTGTTTTTCATCCTTTTTCCAAGTATACAAAACAACGTACTTTTTCCCCTACAGGTGAGCAACAACCTGTGACTTGGGAGATATAGTTCTATATTACATTCCCTTACAGACTTCTTTATGACCAGCTCCTCTGTCTTGGGAATATAGACAGATGCAGTGTGCTCTCTGTAGGCTGGCAATGCCTGCCCTGAGGGCCACCTGTGTTACCTGGAACATGCAGCCTGGTGACAGCTCTACTCAAAGCCCAGCATGGATGCATTGCAGCAGTCCTAAGGCACAGATGAAGGATTCAACACAACAACTTGCAGTCTATGTGGTGAAACCTTATCCCAGAATCATAGAATCACAAAATCGTATAATGGCTTAGCTTGCAAGGGAACTTAGAGACCATCCAGTTCTAACCCCCTGTCATGGACAGGACTGCCACTGAACAGATCAGGCTGCCCAGTGGCCCATCCAATCCAGCCTTGAATGTCTCCAGTGATGAGGCATCCATAACTCTCTGCACGCCTGTGCCAGTAAACCTTCCCATGCCTGAACTAACAGCTCTGCTTGTGTGAGGCTGGTGTAGGTATCTCCATGTGCACCTCTAATAGCAAAAGTGCCATTTGTCACCTCAAATTTCAGACCTGGATGGCTAGAAATCTAGTAATGAAAGCTCAGTAGATACCTGCAGTGCTCTAAAAAGTGTGTTTTGTGAGACTGATGCCCTGAATGTTATTACTTGACTGCATGTTTTACAGCCAGCTGCATGCCCATTTGGGGGAATTTTCGTTTAAAACTTATGTCCGCAGCAAGGGAAATGTCAGAAAACACATTATTAAACTCAAAATTGAACCGATGAATTCTTCCCAGACAGTAAAACATTTTCCCTCTCAGTGGAAGAGACTGTGGTTTGACATTCTTTGTTCTTCATAAATCCAAGTTAACCAGTTCTTTTTATCAGAGAGTTATTCCAATTTGCTATGAAGCAGTTGCTTAATACTTTGTTGCAGTATCTTGCCAAGGTTAAACTGGTTGGTTGTTCCCCATATTTTCCATTTCTGCATAAGATAGCACGTCAACCTTTCTCTAGTGCCTAGGGGCCTTATAAACCCACATGAGTTTCTAATGGCTCAGCAGTTGTCTTGCCTAAGCTGAAAACTGAATGTCCTCATTCCTTCCTGGTGTTGGTCTTATACAGAGAAGTTTGAGGATTTAAGACTCAGCTGAATGTAAAACCAGAAGTATGGGAAAAGTGCTGGAAATTGAGAAAAGTCAGTGGCAAAATTTCCACAGCTTTTATTGGAAGGAAGATTTGGATCTATGGGCATGAATCTGAAAAGGGAAAGACTGGGTTACGTAAAACTGGAGGCTAGCAATAAATATGAGAAAACACTCAACTCATACAATGTACTCTAAATTATCTGTTTGTGGCAGATCATTGCAAAAACATGAACTAAAAGAAGGAAAACTGCAAAAGCCAAGTCCCCTGATGTTAGTATTGGAGCTGTCAGTCTGCAGGTTCTGGTTGGGTGCATTCTTTTCTGCAGAGCTGCTGTGGTATCCTGTGCCCACAGGTACATGAGAACATCAGCCACCCTTGTTGTCCAATGCCCCTTGGCTAAATGACCTGAACATGTGTTTCCCTTTGTTCACAACCAGAGGGAAAGTTTCTATTGCAGCCTATGTCTCAGTATGTAAAAGTCCATGTGTCCGCATCTGGCTCACTCCAGCTGGGATGCCTCAAAGCTGCCTTTTCTGCCTATCGAAGTGTTAATAGTTTCATGCTAAGTACGCTAAAGAGGTTCCTTAGATCCTCATTTACATATGTTTTGTATTACCCATGTTTTTGCTTTTCATGGTTTATTTTTCCCTCCCACAAGTTGCCACTATCCCCTTCATTAATCCATCTAATTGAAACCTGACATTTTCTGATTTATTGTTCCAAGTTCTCTTAAAATCACCAGTCAGAAGAACAGCTGTACTCCTGTGTAGTTAAAAGATGTTCAACAGCAAATTTTGTCTTAGGTGTGTATAATGATTTTTTTTTTTTCATTTGACCTCAGTAAAAGATTAAAAGATAACCTTGCAAAGCATGAGTTTCATTAAATCAGCCATTCAGCGGGCAGGCTGAATTTTTCATTTGGATTTACTTTGTTTTGTGCTTGAATATCTTTTATTAGTATGTGTTGGAAAAAAGAGGAGGGGCTTGCTAAAAGGAGGACAACGGCATCCTCTCATTGGAGCTCAGTCTATGAGTTACCCTTTCATGGGAGCTGATTTGATCTCCTTTTTTGCTTCTGCAAGCAAGGTGTTTTACCTGCCTTTATCTTCTGACCTGTAGGTGTGACGTTACCACCTCTGTCTCTTTTGGAGCAAAGCCTGGGCCTTGTCAAAGCTCCCCTACTGACTGACGGTGAGCATGGAGCCTGAAGGGCTGCTCGTGGTAATGGGAAGGATGGATCTGGTGGAGGCAGTCGGTGTAGTGCCTCCTGCAATCCCATGGTCTGGGGGCAGGCAGCCAAGGGCTCATCCCTGCCAAACCTGCCTTGCCTCTCACTCCAGCAATGCAGCAGCATTAATAAGGGTATAATCAGACACAGGGGAGATGCTTTTTTCCTGTTGCTTAAAGTAGATTAAACAGTGTACAATTCACAGAAACAACATTCAGTTGTCTCTTTTAAACTTAATATTAAGTCTCTCTTTTTTCCCTGACAAACTCTTCTCTGTGTCCTTTAATACAAGATATATTGAGCTTTAAAAAGTATATTCAGCTCTTACATTTCACAGGTTAACTGAAGGATTTGAGGTGTCTTACAGCAACAATGTCAGGAACAGCATCTACCAAACTGTCCAGAGGGAACAGGGAAAATCAGCACGAGAAAAATGTATCCACAACGGAGAACTATCGTGGAGGCCTCCTGCTGAGATCCATCCTGATGTTGGAACAGGAAGCAAGTCAAAAAGTGGTGTGATTGTGTTGACACTACTGCCTGCTGCAATGAGTCCTGCTTGTCCCACCTGAGCATTCACAGAGAACAACTGTTGTGGAGCTGCCAGACTCACCCTGCCTTCATTGTGCACTTCCATGGACATGGAGATGGCATGGGACATGGGACAGGCAAGTCTGTGGGCTGCCATGTTTCCTGATATCAGTGAGAAAGGGGAAAGGTGAATAATAGCTACTTGGTGTGAGATTCCCTCCTTCTGTTTCGGGAAGTGCAGCAGGGATTTGGGGAGCCAGGGGAAATAAGTGAGGTGATTTTTATGCTTTGGATTCAGAGCGCTGCAATCTGCCTACATAGTTCCACTTGGTTTCAGCTTATGTGAATTTGGAACAGAGATTGTTTTGAAAAAAATGGAGTGAGAGCTGGGCAGAAAATACATTTACAACAGCAGGTCACACATCATGGGGAAACATCTATGAGATACATTGTGGGGAGTAAAGTCTGGCTGCAGATCACTGCTGCAGGGAAGCATTAGGAAAAATTTTCTAGTATTTGCTTTTTATTAAAACAAATCCCCGCATACATTTTCTGAAGCATTTCATACAGAAATTCCCCACAAAGAAAGACCAAAGCTACTCTCTATAAAAACCTTTCACATTTTACCTGGAAACATTTCTATCTATCCTATGTCATCTCAGAGGTGAAGGCTCTGACCCTCAGACTGAGGATCAGGATAACCTATCTGGATGAGGATGAGGAGCACAGTTCTTACAGGAGGATGGACAAAACTACAAAATGGGACACAGCATGCATTCCATCCCTTCTAAGAAACATGGGATAGCAAGGGTGAGAATTCTAGCCTCTCCAGCTCTTGTTTCTCCAAAAGCTACTTTGTGCGTGTGCAGTAGTTTCTACTGCACCAGAGCAAACCCATCCACCTTCATTAGCAACGCAGACCCCCAAAAGACAAGATACTTTACTATAAAGAATGCTTTTGCTTTTTTTCTACAATGCATTCGTTCCTAAGCACAAACCTAGCTCATATACATAGCTGATTTTTTTCAATACTTTTCCAGAGTGTGCATGCTGATGGAACAAAAAAACTCCAAATGTAAGGAAACTCATTCATTTGGTTCGCATTGATGCTCTCCTTCCAGCTAATGACTAATACTGGCTTTAAAGAAACCTGCATTGTCATTGAGAAGTATTGCATGAAAAGTAAATAGCCTCAGAAATCACTGTGGTAACAGGTCATAAATCAGCTAAAGAATAATATCAAATAATAAAAATAGTATTTTTCCACTACAGTGGATCGCAAAACTTTCAGATGTTTCATGTCGATGTTATCATCTTTTCCCTGAAAGCAAAAGCTTCTTGATTTCCATGCAAGCTGCTCTCTACTGAAGCTAGCCATAGAATCGTGCAATCTCCTGAGCTGGAAGTGACCTACAGGAAACAGTGAATCCAATTCCCAGCTTCACTCAGCACCATCCAAAATCCAAACCCAGTGTCTGTGAGCAGTGTCCAGACGCTCCTTGAACTCCAGCACTCAGGGCCGTGCCCACAGCCCTGTGCAGCCCGTTCCGTGCCCACCGCCCTCTGGTGCAGAACCATTCCCTGAGCCCAGCTGCCCTCCCCTCACGCAGCTCCATGCCGTTCCCTCAGCCTTGTCGCTGTCACACAGAGCAGAGCTCAGCGCTGCCCTCCGCTCCCTGTGAGGAGCTGCAGCCGCCATCAGGCCTCCGCTCAGCTCCTCTGCTCTGGGCTGAGCGCAGCCAGGCACCTCAGCTGCTCCTCACATAATGCCTCCTTGTACCTCTTGTGTCTTCCTTGCTTGTGCTTTCATATGCCACCAAATCACAGTAACTTCTCGGAAGGCTTTTAGTGCCATTCCCTTTAGTCAGGACACAAAGTCAGATATCTGTTTTCTAGCTGTGCATACATACCTTTCTGATAGGCTTACACACCAGCCCCATAAGACCACAGTTTCTTAAAGCACAGAGAGGCTCTTTAGACCCATGATCGTTCCAGCTTTGTCATAGATAAATATCGCAACTTCACATGCATTTTTGCAATCCTGTTCAAGGCATTTAATTGCAGGATGAATCAGGGCACTTTAACCAGCCAAATTTCCTACACTGTCAAAGAAGAAAGGTTTCTCCATGGGTGTTTCAGAGCACAGCTATTGGCTGCCCAACACTAGACATAGACAAGTATGACTGTCTTCTTCCCAAATAATTCAGCCTCTCACAAAAAAAATAAAATAAATCATGAATCAGGCTGAAAAATTGCAGGCTTCTTAAAAATAGAAAGGATAAGTTGTTTGCTTTCATGAGTGCACTTGTGTGATGTTTCCATGCTGCTCCTAGCATTTATTTGTATTTGCGCTGTGTGGACTTTTTGTTCCTGACTGAGGCTCTGGGCCTCATGCAGCAAAAAGAGTAATAAATCAAGACAGAAAAACTCAGAAAACAGCTGATGGAGGAGTATTCCTGCTGTCCTGCAGGCTGTTCACCTGGCAGCTCAGCAACCTGCAGACAGGGCTGGCTCAGAGCTTGGAGGCCTCTGCTATGCAGCCCCTCATGGAGCAGGAGCCACAGGGCTGGGTCTCACTGGAACTGTGTCCCCAAAGTTGGTATAAAACAGGATTTTTTTCACAGCACAGAGAAGAACCTCATTCCTTTACAGTTTTGAAGGGATCCCAGAGGGCTCTGTGTTGCAGGGCTTTGTGTGGAGATGAGGTGAGATCCAACCATCTGGTGCTGGCAGAGAATAGTGTCAAATTTGCTTTTGAGCTCATCGTAATTAAGATTTTCAGCTGAAGTTCGCACACTACTTCCTTGTTCTTCCTCAAGGCAGATTTCTCTGCAGTTGTACAAATCACAGCTTTAGAATTACACATTTTCAGTTCCTGTCTTGGGAACTGGGTATCGTAATTTTGGAACTGTAAGCTTGCAACATTGCCCATTTTAAGCCATGTATTATTTTCTCTTTATGGTATTCAGTGTGGTGATTATCATGAGGATTTTATTTCCTGGGGCATGCAATGATTTCAAGAAAACAGAAAAAAAAAAAAAAAGTGGAAAAGTTTGGTTCTGGAAACATTCACTCTACTGCTTAAATGTAAAAGGTGGCAAGAGACATATGAAATTTTTCATTAGCACATGGGAGAGACACAAAGGTTTGTGTTATATGGACCTATTACTATTTCAGATTACATAAGACTAAAGAGGAATCTTTTATGAGACTTTTAGGATGTGCTCATGTATTCCCTCCCCATGTTACAAGTCTCACTGTCTCTCTTTGATGTGAATAGATCTGTAACTTGTCTTCTGAAATTCACATCAAGCCTCCTTATAATATTGTTCATTCTAACAATGCCACTGATAACACTAAAAACAGCCAGTTTCCTAGGATACCATGCAATCAATGTTTTATATACCATCCTCCCCATAAAATGACCTGAGGAAAATTTGACAATGATGAGTAGACAGGAAAAAATAGGGATAATGTAACTTTCACGTGGGCACAGGAAAAAATATTTACTATAGATTATGGAAAGGTTACATATAAGCTGAGTCAATTCTGGAAGAAGTGGAAAATGTGCAACAATAAATTATTCTGTCTTGAAGAGAGTAAAGGAGAATGCATTCTGAGATTCTGGTCCAGAAAGGTGGTAAATGAAGAAGGAAAATAAGTGGTGAAAGAACAGATTGGGGAATAGGACACATAGGACTGCAAGACTGAAAACAGCAAGTAAAATACCAATGTCTGTGATCTCAAAAGATAAGGCAAGCCCAAGATCAAAATTTCAGAAAAGAAGGATTTTTGCATCAGAGACAAGCCCACAGAATGGCAGAAAAAACATTCTGGTTCTGGAGGCAGCACACAGGCAGTGCATAGGCCACTTTCCTGTAATAAAGGATGACAGAATAGGGACTGAGCCCTCCTCCACCAGCACAGGTAACTCACTGAATGCACGAATGTGAGGGATTTGATCTAGTTCATTTTAGATGGAGGAGACTTAGGGAAGTCAAGATGTGAAGAACCAGCTGACATTTGTTGGTACATGTAACCACACTGTTTTCCTGAAACTGGAGCTCCTCTTACCACAAGAGCTTTAAGCAGTTCCCTTGGACAGCACTGAGTGTTGTCTTAGAGGAAAACCCAAGGTCTTCCCAAATGTGCTATGTTACCGTACTGAATATGAGGCTCAGTAGACGTAGTGTTGGCATTGTGCAATAAAGTAAGAGAACAGGTGGCCATGAAAAGCCATGGACTCTTGGACCTTGTTTCCAAAGTGCAGGCAGCCACTGAAACCCATTTTTACAGGCTAAAAAGGCAGTCTGGGCATCTGACATTGACAGTCTCAGAAAATACTGCAGCAAGAACCGAAATGCTGAGCAAGCCTCTGTCCCAGGAGGGATGCAGACGCCCCAGCGCTGAGCCCCCCCACCATGTCCTCCTCACACCCTGAGCAATCAGTGCCAGCAGACCGTCTGGAAGGGAGCCTGGTCCTCAGCAGAGAAACAAAGTCCCGGTCAAGACGTGCTCTTCATCTCATAGTGAAGTAAATTTACAGTTTCCTTTTGTCTCATTTAGTTCCTGAAAGAATTCAAGTGACCTCCTCCTGTAAGCATTACACATTTCCATTTTCATTCTAGCATCTCCATGTCAAAGCCAGAATCAAGCTTTCAAGGGAAATTTGAGAAACAGAAGCAAAAGAGATAATGGAGACTTCTGAAGCGGTGGTGGTGACAGCCCAACGAGCTTCAGTTCATTTGAGTCCCCCATTTGAGAATTTTTCTCACCTTCACATAAAAGGCAGTATCTGTTACAGCCGCATATGTCTGCTCTACAGATGGACCCCGGTGATTAGGTGAACTTTGTGCACCTGATCTCTATGCTGTTCAGGAGCCCAGACAGACAAGATGCTCCTTTTATTCGTGCCCTCGTTGCTCAGGTGCTTGCATTGCTGCTGTAACCCAGTCCCTGTAAATTCAGTGCTGAAGACCCCGTCCTCACATGCTCACTGCTGTCTGTAGTGCTAGTGGTTGTAGGTTTCTTTGTGGCTACAGTGGTGCTGCCTATCAGCATTCTCTGTTTCTGTCTAAGCTCACTTTGAAACAAAAACACAGTAATAGGAACAGAGAAAACAGCAAATATTTTGAATAGTTCTTTCTATGGATAAAACTGTGAGTATAGCAGGACAGAGAAATATGGTATTTCCACATCCCTTATGAACTGTTTTGTATTTTCTGGTTTTGCTGGAGGGATGGGGAGAGGCTGGGGCTAATCATGCTCTTTGGTTGAAGGCATGGCTGCTTCTGTTACGAAACTGAGAAACAGGATAAATTCTGCTGTCAGACTGTCATAGTACTTGAATCATACTGCACTACTGTACTTAAAAACAATCTGGAGAAATGGGTTGAGACTGAGATGGCATAGTTCACTGTGGGGATCATCTTAAAAGAATTAAACTTGACTGGTAAGATGCAGAAGAAACTCACAGTGATAAGAGATAATAATATCAGAACTTTTCAGTCCTGACAAGTGAAAAGAAATATACAGGAGGCCAGGGTGTATAAACAGTTGTATAAATCATCAGTGCAGTATAGCTAACAAATAAAGGGTTCTCCTAATAATTTATTAGACCTCAACTGGAACTCTGTATCTAGTTTAAGGCCCATCTTGTAAGGGACATGATGATAGCTTTAAGTGAGCCCTTACAGCTCACTGTTTGTGATTGCTACCATGCATTATGTTGATGTTCAGAAAAACTATTTACTGGCATTAGATTTCCTAAAGAATGATGGAAGAGCTCAGGCTGGAAGAGATTTGGAGAGGCCACCAGGATGGTGGAGGCTGGAGAACTTGCACGGAGAGGCAGAAGACCAGCCTAGAGGAGAGATGCCTTTGGGAGTATTGCAGTTCTTTGTAGCTTTGAGCAGGAGGTTGGGTTTGATGTTCTCTCAGGCACTGGGCAAGAGGTTGGATTAGATGGCCTCTCCCTACCCTGCTGAGGCCACATTGAGCCTACTGTGTCTAGTTCTGGGCTCCCCAGTTCAAAAAAGACAGGCATCTCCAAGAAAGAGTCCAGCATAGGGTCACAAAGATGATAAAGGGCCTGAAGAATCTCTTGTATAAGGAAAGCTGATTAGCCTCTGTCTGTTCAGTGTGGGGAAAATAAGACTAAGAGGGGATCTGATAAATGTTTATAAATATCTAGAGGGAGGTGGGAGGCAAATGGATGAAGCTAGGTTCTTCTCGGTGGTGTGTAGCAATAGGACAAGTAAACTTTAACACA